GGGGGGGGGGGGGGGGGGGGGGGGGGGGGGGGGGGGGGGGGGGGGGGGGGGGGGGGGGGGGAGGGAGCATAATCTCCACACCCCTTGGGCCAAAGTCTTGCCCCCCCTCCCTCGCACCCGCTTCTTTTTTTTTTTTGTTTAACAACCACCGGCAACGGCCTTGAGATATCAACATGGGACTGACCGGCCACACACAATGTAAGAGTCCCATTCATTTGGTTCCATCTGGATTTGAACCCAGGTCTGTCTTTCAACAGCTCATGTGTGTACCAACGCACTCAGTGGGCCCACTGGTCCCCATTTGTTCTCTCCCCTCGCTTGATGATGTAACAAAGCAGACGCTCGATTTAGCCTCTTTGCCTGTCGCTGCTGAGGGGCTGGTTCCCTAGGGGCAGGGCTGTAAGAGGAGAGGCCACCACAATGTTTAATGGAGCCCCTCCCTCCCCCCCCCCCCCCCCCCCCCCCCCCCCCCCCCCCCCCCCCCCCCCCAACCCCCCCCCCCCCCCCCCCCCCCCCCCCCCCCCCCACACACACACACACACACACACAACCGCCTCTGTCCCCCTCCCCGCTTGTTCTTGTCCTTCACATGATCTACAACCCCTCGCCTTGTCCCGTTGATGATGGTTGCCTAGAGGGGGCTGTAAGAGCGGGCGGGCACAGTCTTTAGCTTGGCCCAACGTCCTTCCCGCCCTCCGCGGGCCTCGCCCCCTCCTTCACCCACCCGACTTCCTTCTTGCTTTCGCTTGTTGATATGACATAGCAGACACTCAATTAGTCCCATCGCTCCTTGCTGGTGATGATGGCTACATTCCTGACAAGCCGGTGTAGCTCCTACATTCCTGACAAGCCGGTGTAGCTCCTGCATGGGAGAGGAGGTGGAGGGAGAAGAAGGTTGCCCTCCCTCCCACCCCCCAAAAGCTATACTAGGCTTCAAAACATTAAATAAAATACAGCTGAAAAAAAGAAAACTGAAAGCAAACAAAAAACAAAAAAGACGAACTTGAGGTCCAATCCCATCCGACCCATAATTCCAACGTGCAGTCACACTTCAGGTTGCACTTTACTGCTCATAATTAATTTTAATCAATGGAGAT